TAAAAATAATTAGCAGTAAAAGAAATTGATTTTTTATCTACGTGATGTAAATCAACTGGTGTGAATGAATGACTTTCATCTGTCCTGTCATGTTTTTAGTTGTAACAGATGTATGATGATAATTGTTAGTCGGGTTGAGAGCTGTAGAAAGATAGGAAGGAAAAAAAGAGGAAGATAGGCCGGCAAAAATTATGGGTGTTACTAAATGCCTATAAAATTTATTTAGGAAAAATGTTGTCAAAATGAGTATAATGTTTTATATAGTTGTTGATGTTTGATTTTTGGTTATGCTTGGCCGAAGTGAAATGGGAAAAGTGAAGGTGAAAGGAAGAGTGGGAGAAAATGGTTCACTTGTTTTTCTGCTATCGGTTTTTTGGCTTTAGTGGTCACTGAAAATGTATGTTAACAACAGAGTGCATTGTCGGGTTAAATTCAAAGGAAACCTCGGTAATGCAATTCAGATTTTGAACACCGTAGATCAACGGCGTCGAACAGGTCGAGGGCGTTATATTGATGGTGTTAATTATGTGTGTTGACAAAAGTTACACCGTCCAGCACTCTTTGCCCTCTACACACAGTATTGCAGTAATTGTTAACACGTAGTCGACAAGTGAAAAATGTCGTTGAAAAACAACAATAACAGCTGAGGGGCAAAATCCTGTTTTACTTCTTTCTTTAATTGTAATATAGTGGTTTTTTTTCTTTTAAATTCCTTGCTAGTTATAATACTAAGAAAATAGGTGACCATCGTAACAGTAACACTAAAAACTGGCTCAAATTGCATAGTTTTTTGATTATTTTCTAACAAACTGTGAAAAAAAAAAGAGAAAAGACAATGAAATTTAAATTTGTATCTGAAAAAGAAAAACAAAACCAAAAAAATAAAGCGCAAAACATATTAAAAGAGAAAAACAAGTAATTGATAAGAAAATTGAGCGAACTGTTTTGTTGCTTTATTATTCGAAACACCTGCATGCGTTGAATAGTCGAGATTCTATGTTCACTATGAAATATTTCTCTGTGTATTTGTATGTAACACTTCATTTAAATTTTACTAAACCTTAAAAAGGCGAAATCAAAGCAAACGAAAGCTGCAGAAAAAAAAGAACCAAATATAGATCGGTCCCGCCGCTGAAATAGCCCAACACATATACACATATGTATCTACGTATATGAATGGGCACATGCATACCACAACATCGACACGAAAATGCACATTTGACAACTGCAAGTAAATGTACCAGTACTTCATTTTGCACTTTTATTACTTTTCAAAATTCAACTTGTCGACGTTTTTCCTCTTTCCTGTTTCATTTTCCCTTTTTTTTTTTTTTCAGTTCCAACTCAAAACATTTTTTCTTTCTCTTTTTTTTTTTTTTACTTCATAGTGATTAAATATGCCAAACAACAACGAAAAAATGGAACTGAAGGAAATGTGCTAAACAGGTGAATTAATATTTAATTATTTTATGACACTAATGCTTAAATTACACTTGCTTTGGCGTATTTTTTTTTCTTTGCAGTTATCATTTATCGGAAATGTGAAGCATTCTGCTTGCTACGTGAATATATATAAGTTATCCTTTCAGTTGATTATATCCATTAGTAGACTGAAAAAAGTACTCTTTTTGTTTTGGTTGAAAAAAGTGAAAACAAAAAAGAGAGCGCTATAGATTAGCACTGCATATAGGCCGAAGAAGCTCCAATCTATACCGTTGGAAAAAGAATATGGCAATTCCAACAAAGACGATGTTGAAACTGAATGATTTTATCGACAAACTATCACTGTGATCAGACGTTGCAATTACTTGAAGCTAATCGAATTGCAATAAAAATTTTTTTGAATTTTCGCTTTTTTTTTTTTTTTTTTTTTTTTTTTTTTTT